ATACAACAAGCCAATGAAATGCAGATTCGGAGGTGGGTGGAGTCAGTTTTAATTTTTACCTATTTTTCTATTGCTTGTCAATATAAAATCCACAACCAATAACATGAGTGATTAATTTCATTGGCTCTTAATTAGAGACGAATCTCATCTCGAGAAACATAATATTTTGTGACAAACAAGAGTGAAATTATTTTATATGAGCTGTGCATTTGTTAGAATTTACAGAAAATTTTAATATTTTAAGAATTGTGCTGAATTTTCATTCTGTTTGAGAAAATATACCAAACTTTTGAAAAATAGGATTAAAGTGGTTAAAAGGTTTGTGTTTTTTTTTAAGTAATAAATAGATCACGAGATTTATTATTCCAGCTGAACTTGAGCCGTTTGAAAAGTTTAATTCAAGAGTTTCTGTAGCGGCAAAACGTAAATGACGTTTAAAGTAGAGCCCGTCAAATAGTGAACATTATCTTTCTGTTTATTGATTGCAATAAACTGCTTATAATTTTAGTTAAAATAATTTTTAACCCTGATCTTTGGATTGCTTGCTTGAAAGAACAGAGTTTCCATGAAACAGGCTTCATCAATAAGCACTTTTGGAAACACTGTTCACTATTTGGCGAACCTTACTTTAAAAGTATGTTTATTTTTACGTTGGAGGTAATAAACTTCTGAATATTAAATCAGTTTTAACTGTGTCGTAGAAGATTATTTTGATATTTTTAAACCTAGTTCGCTACTTGACGCAGTAAAATTCAGTCTTCATCTTGAATTTTTATAAGCAGATTCGGCCCACGACAAAATAAAATTCAATTTCCATTTAATCAAATAAGCCGATGAAATTCAACAGCGAAGATGGGTGGGTTTAGTTTTAGCTTTTTGTTTAGATTCCACTGTTGTTCAATATAAAATGCACTTTTCGTCCAGAATGACCGAAAAAAAATCGGGTGGGTGGGTGGGGCCATTTTGAATTTTTTAAGCATAAATTGGACCACTTGACAAAATATAATTCAATTTTCATTTCCTAGTAAATACAACAAGTCAATGAAATCAGTGGTAGCGTAAACGGGTGGCAATGAGGGCAGTCCGCCCCGACAACTCAAAAACATCCAACAAAAATTGGCAGACATACAGACAGACAGACAGACGGAAACGGGAGACCTATTTCTTCGTACTCTAGGAGTCACGAAAGGTCGAGAAAATGGTAAATTTGTATAGGGAAATATGGATGTTGCAACCAATTTTCGATTGTTCAATTTTTGTTTTTTTTTTTGCGATTTTTTGTGTCTCAGTTTCTAATTTTTCGTTTCTTCAGTTCAAGTTCTTGATTTTGATTTTTTAGAATTTTTCAATTTTGCAATTTTGGACTGTTCAATTTTTGTTTTCTTCCGATTTTTTGGTTTCTCAGTTTTTAATTTTTCGATTGTTCAATTTTTCGTTTCTTCAGTTGTTTAAGTTCTTGACTTTTATTTCTCAGTTTCTCAATTTTACAATTTTTGATTTTTCATTTTCTTTTTTTTTCGATTTTTCAGTTTCAGATATTTTTTCAACTTTGGATTTTTCAGTTTTTGATTTTCTCAACTTCCAAAATTTTCAATTGATCGTTTCTTCAATTATTCGATTTGTAATTTTTGGATTTTTCAATTTTCGTTATAACAATTTCTCATTTTTTTTATTTTTCAGTTTCTCAATTGAAAAATCAAGAATTGTAATTTTTCAGTGTTTCATTTTCTAGATTTTTAATTATTCAGTTATTCGATTTTACATTTTTTGACATCCCAATTTTTCATTTTTCTCTTTTCTTCAATTTAATAATTTTTTGGTATTTTGTTTTTTCATTTTCTTTTTTTTTCGGTTTTTCGATGTTCCGGTTTCATTGTTTTTTCAACTTTGGATTTTTCAATTTTTGACTTTATGGATTTCCAAATTTTTCAATTGTTCGTTTCTTGAACTATTTGATTTGTAATTTTTGGAGTTTGCAATTTTCGTTATAATTTCTCATTTTTTTTATTTTTCAGTTTCTCAAATTTTAATTTTTCAATTTCCCAGATTTACAATTTTTGATTTTACAATTATTCATTTTCTGGATTTTTAATTACTTATGTATTTAGTTTGTCCGTTTTCCAATTTTTAGATATCACAATTTTTCGCTTTTTCATTTTCTTTCATTTTTCAATTTTCCTTTGTTTGAATATTTGGGCGTCATAATTTTTTTTTCAATTTTTTGTTTCTTCGGTGTCTCCGTTAGAAAATTTCAATTTTGCAATTTTGGATTGTTCAATTTTTGTTTTCTTTTCGATTTTTTGGTTTCTCAGTTTTTAATTTTTCGATTGTTCAATTTTTCGTTTCTCCAGTTGTTCAAGTTCTTGATTTTTATTTCTCAATTTCTCAATTTTACAATTTTTGATTTTTCAATTTTCCATTTTCCCTTTTCTTCAATTTTATAATTTTTTGGTATTTTGTTTTTTCATTTTCTTTTTTTTTTCGATTTTTCGATGTTTCGATTCCATAACTTTTTTTTCAACTTTGGATTTTTCAATTTTTGACTTTCTCGACTTCCAAATTTTTCAATTGTTCGTTTCTTGAACTATTTGATTTGTAATTTTTGGATTTTACAATTTTCGTTATAATTTCTCATTTGTTTTTATTTTTCAGTTTCTCAAATTTTAATTTTTCAATTTCCCAGGTTTACAATTTTTGATTTTACAATTATTCTTTTTCTGGATTTTTAATTACTTATGTATTTAGTTTGTCCGTTTTCCAATTTTTAGATATCACAGTTTTTCGCTTTTCCATTTTCTTTCATTTTTCAATTTTCCCTTGTCTGAATGTTTGGGCGTCATAATTTTTTTTCAATTTTTCAAATAGGTACTTCACTTCTAAATTTTTCAATTTTTTGTTTCTTCGGTGTCTCCGTTAGAATTTTTCAATTTTGCAATTTTGGATTGTTCAATTTTTGTTTTTTTTTTCGATTTTTTGGTTTCTCAGTTTTTAATTTTTCGATTGTTCACTTTTTCGTTTCTTCAGTTGATCAAGTTCTTGATTTTTATTTATCAATTTCTCAATTTTACAATTTTTGATTTTTCAATTTTCCATTTTCCCTTTTCTACAATTTTATAATTTTTTGGTATTTTGTTTTTTCATTTTCTTTTTTTTTTCGATTTTGCAATGTTCAGGTTTCATAATTTTTTTTTCAACTTTGGATTTTTCAATTTTTGACTTTCTCGACTTCCAAATTTTTCAATTGTTCGTTTCTTGAACTATTTGATTTGTAATTTTTGGATTTTGCAATTTTCGTTATAATTTCTCATTTGTTTTTATTTTTCAGTTTCTCAAATTTTAATTTTTCAATTTCCCAGGTTTACAATTTTACAATTATTCATTTTCTGGATTTTCAACTACTTATGTATTTAGTTGGTCCGTTTTCCAATTTTTAGATATCACAATTTTTCGCTTTTCCATTTTCTTCCATTTTTCAATTTTCCCTTGTTTGATTGTTTGGGCGTCTTAATTTTTTTTTTCAATTGTTCAAATACTTCACTTCCAAATTTTTCAATTTTTTGTTTCTTCGGTGTCTCCGTAAGAATTTTGCAATTTTGCAATTTTGGATTGTTCAATTTTTGTTTTTTTTCGATTTTTTGGTTTCTCAGTTTTTAATTTTTCGATTGTTCAATTTTTCGTTTCTTCAGTTGTTCAAGTTCTTGACTTTTATTTCTCAATTTCGCAATTTTACAATTTTTGATTGTTCAATTTTTCATTTTCTTTTTTTTGTCGATTTTTCGGTTTCAGATATTTTTTTCAACTTTGAATTTTTCAATTTTTGACTTTCTCGACTTCCAAATTTTTCAATTATTCGATTTATAATTTTTGGATTTTGCAATTTTCGTTATAATAAGTTCTCATTTTTTTTATTTTTCAGTTTCTCAATTGAAAAATCAAGAATTGTAGTTTTTCAAAGTTTCTTTTTCTGGATTTTTAATTGTTGGATTTTACAATTTTTGACATCACAATTTTTCGTTGTTCTCTCTTCTTCAATTTTATAATTTTCTGATATCACAATCTTTTGTTTTTTAATTTTCTTTTTTTTCGATTTTTTGATGTTTCGGTTTCATATGTAAAAATATAAGCCCGCCCACCCGCCCTATCTCAATTGTGAGCTTAACTGCAAAATACTTATTCTTTGTAAGAAATTAAAAACATGTTTTTGAGTATCGTGTTGTTCAAAAAATACTAAATATATTAAGAAAAAAAACGGCAAAATATAAACCCCGCCCACCCACCCAGTCTCCATTGTGATGGTTTTTTTATTCATTAAAATACGTTTAAAATGGTACATTTTTGCAATTAAGCTCCGCCCCTAGGTCTGCCAACGAATGAAAATTTCATTGCTATTTACATCAAGGGAGGTGTGGATGAGGCTTAATTTTTGGTTTTAATTTTTTCTTAATACACACAGTATTCTTTGAACAAAACATGTTTTTAATTTCTCGTAGGATTTTGCAGTTAAGCTCCGTCTTGGCTCACGACGAATAAAAAAAATCATCACAATTGAGATAGGGTGGGTGGGCGGGGCTACAATTTGCCTTTTTTTTCTTAGTATGTGTTGAGTTATTTCGACAATAAGAAAAAAACTTGGCAGAAGTTTATATGATGGAATATGCTTTAGCTCACCCTTAAATTGATGAAGAGCTTTTGCATACTATGGTTCTCGTTTCTTAACAAATTCTGTGCTAAACAATTGAATTATTTTTAATTGGTTTACTTCCAACCGCTGCCTTAAACGTTACTTTATACAATTTAAAACCCATTTATTAAAAAAACGACACGATTAAGCTCGTGTTCTTTGGAAATAGAGCTTTTGTTCGCAAGTACGTGCTCCTTGTTAACTGAAACGGAAAGCTTCTACGTGTCAACTATACTAATGAAAAAGGTGGTACGCTCGGAATGTTTTATTTATAGAGGTCGACTAATTGCCGTTTTATTGATATTAACGACATACTCACCTTTCTTTTCGAACGAATTGAGTCAATTTGCCTTTGCGTCATTTCTCCTATTGAACGCGACCCCCAAAGCTCCTTACCCATGATAGTGTACGAAAAGGACATCAAAGTCACAGGAATCACGTACGTTATTATTATGAATATCATCTGGTATCTGAAAAAAAGCTCAATTAGATTTCAGCAAAACTTTATTTACAAGAGGAAAACATTCATTGCCATAAAACTAACGCCTTAGAAATCATTAAACGAAGCGGAAAAAGCGGCAGCGACTCTTCGGTGTATCTGGGGGTGTGAAAGTGCTTTAACAAGATGGATCGGAGTTCGAGACGTGGATGTTTTCTACCAGAAATTCGCTTTCCACGATGCAATCAACAAGGATTGTGCGATGTCAAGCCACTTTTTCGTATAACTCACTTACTAGGGACATTATTCGGGTTCGTTCTCTTTGATAATGTTTTTATTGGGGGGTGTCAAACTTTATAGGGTGGATGGAAGTTGTGTTGTAACTAAAAGAAATTGTATTGCTTTTATTTTTGATCAGTCGGGCGGTGTTCTGGTGACAATAAGTCATAAATCAAAGTAATATCGGAGAGTATTAGGTTATCATCGGGGTGATAAATTTGAATCGTTCATCATGAAATATGACAGTCTGGAAAGCTTGTCCTACAATGGAGATCGACATGACTACAACAGGAATCATCAGAGTGGATTTACTATTATTCTATGTAGGAACGAATGTCCTAAGCTTCTTAATGCTCGTCTACATTGTTAGATATATGTGATGTTATTGATTTGTCCCTAGTGCTTAATCGCTTCCAAGTCAAGAATAAAATACAAGGGTACTTTAAACCCATTTCTGACTTCCTTACTTCGGAAGACTCTTTGTTATTAGATTATCCTGAACTCGTTTGAACCACTTGACTTTCACTTTTGGATTCAAAAAGCTCCTACCGATTTATTTGCATCTAACGCTTGGACGACCGCACGTGTCTTTTTTGTTCCTCATTTAACTGAAAGTGTGTTTCTGACAGGAAGTTATTTGAGACATGAATTGCTCTTTTGGCTGTTCGTCGGAATAAACTTTAATTAGGATGAGGTATATTTCGACGTTTCTGCTACCCTTTTACGCCTTTATTTATTTGGGATGCTTTTCTCGTAAAACACTACCTATAAAGCAGTCCCTATGACGCAAAGGGAACTCCGAAGTTTTGCGCTTTCAAAAACAAATGAACCGTTTACATAATCGAGCTTTTTCGTCGTGAAAGCGTTTTGTTTGTGCAAAGCTTGATGCTGGCGTTGTTGCTGACAGGAGATTTTCGTGTGTAATGTGGAATTTTTGTCAAAGCTGATTTTTTAATTAATCAGACTATTAACGGTCTCCTTTTTGTGTACTATCGAATAAAAAAGTCGCTGCGTTTAGGAATTTACTGGTTTGCGTCAGTTGCAGTCAAAATTAATGGTGTAGGAAAATGTTGACACAGTTTAGAAGATTGTTCGCCTGTGACGGTGAGATAGCTTTGAAGTTGGTTACTCATGGAAAGCCAAATTTAGCAGAAAAATTGGTCGAAGGTTATTTTAACTAAAATTGGATTTTATGAAAAGCTCTATGAGTTTATTATTATTTATTAGTTTGTTCTAAAAGTGACGTATTTGATTTTGGCGTTTTCTGAAAAATTGTAGAAATTTCCGAAGAAAAAATACAAAATTTTCATAAAATTTCATTTTGAAAAATTGACCTTTTAGAAAAGTTGTCTGCAAATTCTCCAAAATTCGTGGAATTTTGGCAAGATAATTCCAAAATTCTAAAAATTACTATATTCAATTTTGGCGATTCCTGAAAAGTAGAAAAACTAAAAAATTTCGTAAAATGTCATATTCAAAAACCGAAAAATTGAGAATTTGAAAAATTCTAAAACTGAAATGACGAAAAATTGGGAAATCGAGAAATTGAAAAATAGAAACATCTAAAAATTGGAAAGTCGAGAAAAAAAATGGAAAAATTGAAAAATCTCAAACTGGGAAGCCGAAAAATCTAAATATCGAGAAATCTAAACTTCAAAATACTGAAAAATATGTATTAAAAATTCGAAAATTTAAAAAATCGAGACATCGAAAAATCTACAATTTTAAAACTTGAAAAATTAAAATATCGACAATTTGAAAAATCGAGAAAACGGAACATCAAAAAATCGAAAAAGTGAAAAATTTTAAAATCGAAAGGCTATAAAAAATTCAAAAAACCGAGAAATAGAGAAATCGAAAATCCAAAATTTAAAAATTCGCAAAATTTAAAAACCGTAAAATTGAAAAATTGAAAAATCAAAAATTTTAATCCAAAAATTGAAAAACCAAGAAGTCAAAATATCGAAAAATTGAAAATTCAAAAAAATTCATAATTCAAAAAATTGAAAAATGGAAGAAAAATTAGAGGATTCGAGAAACTGAAAAATCGAGAAACTGAAAAATTCCAAAACTGAAATGATATTTTCGAAACTCGAAAAATCAAAACATCAACTGTAAATTTTATATTTATGCTGATGACCTTAAGATCGTTAATGTTATTAGTTCATATGCCGACTGTTTTAGCCTGCAAGATAATGTTGACTCATTTTTCAATTACTGTTCCATAAACCGCCTTATTATTAATACATCTAAATGCAATGTAATGTCCTTCAGTAGAAAAATGCAGCCTATAATATTTCACTACAATATCAATGGTAAAATTTTGAAACGTTGTGTTCAATTTAAAGATCTAGGTGTAGTTTTTGACTCAAAGCTATCGTTTATACCTCATATCGAATATGTCACTAACAGTGCTATAAAATTATTAGGATTCATCATACGTAACAGCTCAGATTTACAAAATATGTTTTCCATTCGTTTATTGTTCTATTCGTTAGTGAGATCCAAACTCGAGTACTGTAGTTGTATATGGAGTCCTGCACAACAGATTTTTGTTAGTCTTCTTGAGAATGTCTTACGTAAATATTGTAAATTTTTATTTTTTAAAATGTTTGGGCGTTATCCGGAATTACACTGTAATCAAAAAGTTCTCCTGAATATTCTGAATGAAAAATCTCTATTGAGTAGAAGAAACGTAGCCAGCATAACATTTCTTCAAAAAATTCTTAATGGTTCAATTAATAGTCATGAAATACTTAGTCAAATAAAAATAGTTGTGCCGAGGATAGTGAGCAGAGTGCCACTTACGTTTTTTTATTGTATTCCTAATACATTTCACCATTATAATTCTCCTCTGTTAAATTGCCTTAGATTGTATAATTGCATATGTAATATATTTGATATTTTTAACGACAGTTTATTGAATCGTAGGTTAAGGAATAAAATTATAGACTATTATACTCAGTTCTAAATATTTAATTTTTGTAACATGTATTATAAAGCGCTAGTTAGTGTATATATATATATATATATATATATATATATATTTGTTAAACTGTAAGATTTTTGTATCTATATGGACACCTGTCCGTTGGAAAATAAACCCATCATAAAGAAATTGAAATAGGCCAAAACTGGAAAATCGAATAGTTGAAAATTGAAAATTTGAAACTGAAAAAAATCGAAAAATAGAAAAATTGAACGATAAAAAAATCGAATCATGAAAATCTCTGTAAATCGAGAAATAGAAAAATTGTAAAATCGTAAAATTTAAAAACCGTACAATTGAAAAATCAAAAACTTTAAAATTCCAAAAATTGAAAAACCGAGAAGTCGAAAAATCGAAATATTGAGATTTCTAAATATAAAAAAAAATTAAAAATGAAGAAATTGAGAAACTGAAAAATTCCAAAACTGAAATGATATATTCGAAAATCGAAAAATCGAAAAATCAAAAGATAAAGAAATTGAAATAGGTCAAAACTGGAAAATCGAATAGTTGACAATTGAAAATTTGAAAATTAAAAAAATCGAAAAATAGAAAAATTGAACAATAAAAAAATCCAATCATGAAAATCTCTGTAAATCGAAAAATTGTACAATCGCAAAACTGAAAAATCAAAAATTTTAAAATTCCAAAAGTTGAAAAAACGAGAAGTCGAAAAATCGAAATATTGAGATTTCTAAGAGATTTCTAAGATTAAAAAAAAATAAAAAATGAAGAAATTGAAAAATCCAAAGTTTTAAAACTTGAAAAATTGAAAAATCAAGAAAATTCATAAATCAAAAAATTGAAAAATGGATGAAAAATTAGAGGATTGGAGAATTGAAAAATCTCAAAACTGAAACAGAAAATTTGAAAAATCGAAACAATGAAAACGAGAAATCTAAAAATCGACAAATGAAAAATCGTAATAATAAAAAATCCAGAAATCCAAAAATTGAAAAATGGAAGAAAAATTTTAAGAATTGAGAAACTGAAAAATCTCAGAAACATAAAAATTGAAAAATCGAGATATCTAAAAATCGACAAATGAAAATTCGAAAAATAAAAAAATCTAGAAATCGAAAAATTGAAAAATGGAAGAAAAATTTGTAGAATTGAGAAATGAAAAAGCTCCAAATTGAAACAGTAAAATTGAAAAATCGAGAGAGAAATTTAAAAATCGACAAATGGAAAATCGAAAAATCAAAAACTCTAGAAATCGAAAAATTGAAAAATGGAAGAAAACTGAAGAATCGAGAAATTGAAAAATCACAAAACTGAAATAGAATAAATGGAAAATCGCAGTTGAAAAATCGAGAAATCTACAAATCGACAAATAAAAAATCAAAAAATTAAAAAAATGCAGAAATCGTTAAATTGAAAAATGGAAGAAAAATTTAAAGAATCTAGGAATGAAAAAACTCGAAATTGAAACAGAAAAATTGAAAAATTAAAAACTGGAAAAATGGAAGAAAAATTTGAAGAATCGAGAAACTGAAAAATCTCAAAACTGAAAAACAAAAAAATCCAGAAATCGAAAAATAAAAATAGAAGAAAAATGTGAAGGATCGAGAAATTGAAAAATCGCAAAAGTGAAACAGAAAAAATTGCAAATCGAAAAATTTAAAAATCGAGAAATCTAAAAATCGACAAATGAAAAATTGAAAAATCAAAATATTCAGAAATCGAAAAATTGAAAAATCGAAAACTTAACGAAATGAGAAATCTAAAAATCGAAAAATTAAAAAATACAGAAATCGAAAAATTGTAAAACTGAAGAAAAATTTGAAGTATAGAGAAATTGGAAAATCGCAAAACTGAAATAGGAAAATTGAAAAAAGTGAAAAATCAAAAAATTAAAAACTCCAGAAATCGAAAAATTGAAAAATGGAAGAAAACTGAAGAATCGAGAAATTGAAAAATCGCAAAACTGAAACAGAATAAATGGAAAATCAAACAATTGAAAAATCGAGAAAACTACAAATCGACAAATGAAAAATCAAAAAATTAAAAAATCCAGAAATCGAAAAATTGAAAAATGGAAGAAAAATTTGAAGAAACGAGGAATGAAAAAACTCGAAATTGAAAGAGAAAAATTGCAAAATTTCAAAACTGAAACAAAAAAATTGAAAAATCGAAAAATTGAAAAATCGAAAAATCTAAAAATCGACAAATAAAAATCGAAAAATTAAAGAATCCAGAAATCGAAAAATTGAAAAATTGAAGAAAAATTCGAAGAATTGAGAAACTGAAAAATCTCAAAACTGAAACAAAAAAATTGAAAAATGAAAAAATCCAGAAATCCGAAAATAAAAATGGAAGAAAACTGTGAAGGATCGAGAAATTGAAAAATCGCGAAACTGAAACAGAAGAAATGGCAAATGGAAAAATTAAAAAATCGAGAAATCTAAAAATCGACAAATGGAAAATTGAAAAATTAAAATATTCAGAAATCGAAAAAAAGGAAAAATAGAAGAAAAATTTGAAGAATGGAGAAATTGAAAATCGCAAAACTGAAACAATTAAATTGAAAAATCGAAAAATTCAAAAATCGAGAAATCCAAATATTGAAACATGGAAGAAAACTTTGAAGAATCGAAAAATTGAAAAATCTCAGAATTGAAACAGAAAAATTGAAAAATTGAGAAATCTAAAAATCGACAACTAAAAATCGAAAAATTAAAGAATCCAGAAATCAAAAAATTAAAATATTCAGAAATCGAAAAATTGAAAAATGGAACAAAAATTCAAAGAATCTAAAAGTTGAAAAATACAGAAATCGAGAAATTGGAAAATGGAAGAAAAATTTGAAGAATAGAGAAACTAAAAAATCGAAAAACTGAAATAGGAAAATTCAAAAATCGAGAAACCTAAAAATCGACAAGTGAAAAATCGAAAAATTGAAAAATGGAACAAAAATTCAAAGAATCTAAAAGTTGAAAAAATCCAGAAATCGAAAAATTGAAAAATGCAAGAAAACTTTGAAAAATTGAAAAATCATAAAATCGACAAATAAAAATCGAAAAATTAAAAAATTCAAAAAGCGGAAAATTGAAAAATCAAAAACTTGACAAAATGAGAAATCTAAAAATCGAAAAATTAAAAAATACAGAAATCGAATAGTTGAAAAATGGACGAAAAATTTGAAGAATCGAGAAACTGAAAAATCTCAAAATTGAAACAGAAAAATTGAAACATACAAATGATTAATCGAAAAATTAAAAAATATAGAAATCAAAAAATTGAAAAATGGTAGAAAAATTTGAAGAATCGAGAAATTAAAAAATCTCAAAACTGAAAAATCTAAACCTAAAAATTGAGAAATTGCAAAATCGAAAAATTGAAAATTTAGGAACGTCAAAAATTGAGAAAATTAAAAATCCAAAAATTGAAACCCCAAAAACCGAAAAATTTTAAAATTCAAAATTTTGAAAACCGAGAAATCGAAAAATGAATTATGCAGGTATTCATTTTCCAAATGAAATTTTTAATTATTCCTAAAAATTGTCATTTTTCCTACTTTTGCAATTCTGGAAAAATGGTAAAAATCGGAGGTCGTAATTTAAAAAAAAATCTTTTAGATAATTTTCGACGTGCTCGAAAAAAGTCAAAAATCCTATAAAATTTTACAATGAAAAATTGAGCTTTTGTATAAATTTCGACGAGTTAATTCGAAAAATAGAGCCTGATAATGATTCCGAACTGAGATTTTTGGGTATTAATTTTTACGCTCATATTTTTAAAACATTAAAAGCGTGTTGACGGGCTCGGATGAAGATCTTGGAGGTATTCGTTTTCAAACTCAAACTTTAAAAAAATTGTATTTGTAAAAGCTCCTTCAAATAATTTTCAACGGTGCTGTAAAAAGTCCAAACTTCACAAAATCTCATTTTGAAAAATTGACTTAAAAATAAAATTTCCAATTAAATATTTCTATCACACGCTATTTTGATTCAATTTACACAGTAAATTAGTTCTCCCGTTCCGTTGATTTCATGCACGTTATAACTACACGGTGTAATAGCAAACCTATCGACCGGTTTTTTTCCTGTTTTTTAATCATATGCATAACATTGCTTCGCTGCAGGCAAAGATAATGCATAATATCATTGCGCTTCACTTGCATAATATAATAACAATAATAATGTTGTTTTCTTTAAGTCGCCAACAAGCTTATCTTGTCCAAATTTATAAGTTACGAATATTGCTTCAAAGTTTCTCGGCGCTTCAGCTGTGTCCACAAAGTCCATAAGATAACTCGAATTTAAAACCACCGTATAATTAGCAACTATTTTATGAAACAACAAAATTCAGAAATAAACAATACGCATTCCAGAGAGATAAAAATCAAACTACAACTAAATTAATTAACGCATTGAGTGCATTTCTCTGCTCAAATTAATTATCCCTCAAGGATGCACTTTTTTCCCATTCAGAATGAATAAAATTCCAACTGACGCCGTCACCAACACTCTGCCAGGACATCAATTTTCGTCCTGCACTAATTATTATCTCGACGCTCCAGGACCCGGATTATTTGACGAATTGATCGCCGCGTAATCAGAACGTGATAAAGATGTGTTTTTCCATTAAAACAACCACAAAGCAAAACTAGACCCTTTTCGAAATGGTGTGTTTACACAGGACAAAGCGCCTGTGATCTTCCTGATGGTCTATAATTTAATACAATGTGCGTCAAAAACATCACGAACACAATATTTTCTTTGTGTTAGTTTTGCGGCGTTTAATTAAATTAAATAAAAGGCAGGGGGTGCGGGTTGACGTAAGGAATATAAAGACATGTACTCACGCAAAGTCGAAATGAGATCCTACGACTTTGCCGTCTGGCCAGATTAGGATGCATCCAGTGCGCTCTTTTCCTTTATACCTGAAAGAGATCTTTTATAAAATATTGCCAAAGATATACCTAGTGAACGTCTAGATTTAGACTAAGTGTTAATGAGTTGGTTACTTACTTGTTGGTTATTGTAGTCGAGTAGAGTAAACAAGGAAAAGCCACCGCCATGCTCGCCAACCAAATAACTGTAATCGCGATGAGAGAGGATTTTTTTGACATTCGGGGTTGCAGGGGATGCACGATGGCTAAATACCTGTTAAAGAACACCAGAGATTAAATTACTAGGTAAAAATGTGTTGTTTTCCTCTAGTGACAAATTTAATTAATCCAAAGTGGCTCTAAATATTTGAGCGGAATCCGCATTTTTCCCGACACGTACGAGGAGCCTGTGTTCGCTGTAAAAATATTATGTTAGTTAAAATTCTTTGCAGGCGATCGAATAAAGTTTGTGTTAGAGATGCTTGCGGATGTCATTTCTGACAAATGCATGTGCTGTGTTTCACTAAAACGTCGCCTTTTTCATGTATACGTGGTGTGTCTTTGCTGCACTATTTTAAAGCGAAATGCACAACTGTGAGAGGAAAATTGAAAGAGGCACAATTTCATTCTAGCAGCTTTTTTGACTAGAAATCAGTTCTGCAATTTTTATTCTTTTTGTTTCTTCACTTTTTCGATTTGCAATTTTTCGAGTTTTACAATTTTTGACTTTTCCAATTTTGCAAAAATTTTTCAATATTTCGTTTCGGTTTTCTTTATTTTTTCAATTTTCCGGATATTTTATTTTCTGGGATATTTAGTGGTTCTGAAATTATAAGAATCTCAGGAATACAAAAAGTCTTTGTAATCTATAGCACCTAAAATTTTCTGTATATTTCGCATTTTGAAAATTTCGTAAACCCTGAAGCCTTTAGTTACTTTGCAATCCCTAGAATTTCTACAATACGATGATTTTCATTGGAAATAGGGATAAAAAATAGGCATTTGTAAGATTTCTTTGAATCTCAAGGATCTTAAAAAAATTTAGGGATTCACAGATTTATTTAGGAACGTATTATTGAAAGTTCTACATTACATCTTTGTAATTATTATATTGTGAGCGTTAAGATCACAGGCTCCTTAAAATCTTCAAAATTTTTTGTATTTTTAGGATCGTCAAGTATTTCAGGATGTTCGTAAACTTCAGAATGACTCGTGTGACTTCTAGTAGATTTAATAGATTTGAAATTATAGAAATCAAAGGCATCCTAAAAAATCTCTGAAATCTAGAACAACTTTTGAATGTTTAGAATTCTGGATTTGCAATTTTTCGATTTGCAGTTTCACGAGTTTTCATTTTTTTATTTTTGGATTTTTCATGTCTTCAATTTTTCGATGTGCAGTTTTTCGTTTCGGTTTTTATTTTCTTTATTTTTCAATTTTTCGATTTTTCAGTGGCCTGATTTTATAATTTTTCTTTTCTCAATGTGAAATTTTTTAATTTATTGGATTTTTCAATTTTTTTGTTTCTCAAATTTTATATTTCTTAATTTTTCGTTTCTTCAATATTTTTAGTTTCCATTTTAAATATATAGTAATAATTTAAAAAATTTTTCGCTTTTTCAATTTTACGATTTAAGAATTTTTCCATTTTTCAATTATTGCGTTTTAAAACTTTTTCGTTTGTTGGAATTTCTTGATTTTTAATTTTTCAATTTTTGATTCTTCAATTTTTCGTTGGGGATTTTTATTTTTTTATTCTTTAAATTTTTGGATTTTTGAAATTTTTCGATTTTTCAACTTTTAGATTTTTTGATTTTCGATTTTTCAGTTTTAGATTTTTCAGTTTCTCTATTATTCGGTTTCTCGTGTCTTCAATTTTTGATTTGCAATTTTTCTAGTTTCCATTTTAAGTATGTATGTAATTAAAATAAATTTTTTTTTCTTTTTCAATTTTACGATTTTAGAATTTTTTCTTTTTTCGATTATTATAGACTTTAACGTTTATTTTGTTTTCGATTTTTAATTTTTCAATTTTTCGATCTTTTAGTGCCAGCGTTTTTTGACACTTTCCAGGATTCTATAATTTTTCGATTGTACGATTTTTGGTTTCTCCAATTCTTTTTTTTTCGATTTTTTAACCTCTCGATTTTTGGTTTTTCAATGTTTCAATTTTTTTTTTAGTTCTTCGTTTTAACACTTTTTCGATTTTGGAGTTCTTCGTTTTTTCAGTTTTGTCGTTTCTTCAATTTTTGATTCGCAATTTTTGTAGTTTTCCACTTTTTCGATTCGATTCGTTTTCCCTTCTTTCCGATTTTTCGGTTCATTTTTTTTTTCGTTTTGTAAGTCTCTCGATTTTTAGTTTTTCAATGCTTCAATTTTTCGCTTCTTCAGTTTTTCATTTCCTCAATTTTTGGTTTTGGTTTTATGTTTTATTTATTTTTACAAAGTTTAGATTTTTCATTGTTCCGATTTTATTTGTTAATTTTTCAATTTAAATTTTTTTCAATTTTTCGTTTATTCAATTTTTCGATTTTTATAATTTTTTGTTTATTCAATTTCAATATTTTCAGCTTTTTGCTTTTTCAGTTTTCAGTTTCTCCAATTTTTCGGTTCGCAATTTTCCAGTTTTTCACCTTTTTTGTTTCTTCAATGTTTTTTAGTCTTTCTCCTCTCCAATTTTTGATTTGCAATTTTTCTAGTTTTCAGATTACGAGTGAAAAAGTAATAATAATTAAAAAAATGTTACCATTTTAGAATGTCTTCATTTTTCAGTTATTGGATTTTAAACATTTTTCATTTATTTGACTTTTCAAATTTTTAATTTTTGAATTTATTAATTTTTCGATGATTTATGAGAAGTTCTAGATTCCATCCTTTAGGCAATCCACAATAACACTGAAATTCTGGAAAGTTTGCCCTCAAAGACTTCAAATAAATATATTTTTCAATTTTTCAACTTTTGATTTTTTTATTTTCTAGATTTTGCAATTTTTGGATGTGCAATTTTTGTTTTCCCTTTCTTTTTGTTCTCTATTTTTACAAATTTTCAAATTTTCAACTTTTCGACATTATAACTTTTTTTTTCTATTTTCGCTTCTTCAATTTTTTCTTTCAAAGCAACGTTTCGAGTTTCTATCTTTAACGTTTTCAGTTTTTCAATTTTTCAACTTTTGATTGTTTCATCAGTATTTAGATTTCTCAATTTTTTGAATTGCAATTTCACGTCCAATTTTTCATTTCTTCAAAATTTCGAATTACAGTTTTTCGTTTTCATTAAATTTTTCCTTTCTTCAGTTCTTCGATTGGCAATTTTTCGATTTTCCACTTTTGCGTTTTTTCAATTTTTCGATTCTTCAGTTTTTCATTTTTTCAAACTTTGATTTGCAATTTTTGGTTTCAGTTTGATATTTTCTTTATTTTTACCAATTTTCGTTTATTCAATTTTTCGATTTGCAATATTCAGTTTTTCATTTTTTTTTGTTTCAATTTTTAAATTCATTCTTTTTTTCGTTTCGGTTTTTTATTTTTTTATCTTTTCAAAATTTCGGTTTTCACTGTTCTGATTTTACAATTTTTCTTTTTCCTTATCAAATTTTTCAATTCTTGGATTTTTCAGTTTTAAATTTTTTAGTTCCTCGATTTTTCGTTTTGTCGTTTCTTTAATTTTTGATTTCGTTTTTTTTTCACTTTTTCGATTTTTCATTTTTTTCAGATTTTTTAGTTTTCAACTTTTCTAATAAAAAAAACGTAAAAATTACAAATTTGTAAAATTGAAAAATTAATAACGAAAAGTATAAAATAAAAAATCGAAAATTTTTTTCTCATGAGAAATGTTTCAATTTTTGTGTTTTTCAATGTTTCAACTTTTAGATTTTTAATTTTCCTTTTTCCATTTTAGATCTTTTAGTTTCTCCATTATTCGGTTTTTCGTTTCTTCAATTTTTGATTTTCAATTTTTCCAATTATTCGATTCCTTTTTTTCGATTTTTAAACCTCTCGATTTTTAGTTTTTCAATGTTTCAATTTTTTCTTTTTCTAGTTCTTCTATATTTATTTACAAATTATAGATTTTTCGATGTTCCGATTTTATCTTTTTTTTTCAATTTCAATTTTTTCTATCTTTCGTTTATTCAGTTTTTTATTTTTTCTTATTTCTTGAATTTTACGAAGGTTTTCAATTTTCCAGTTTTTAGATTTTTCAATTTTTAGATTTTGCAATTCCACGAATTTCCAATTTTTCGATTTTTTAGTTTTTCATTTCTTCAGTTCTTCGATTTTTCGCTGTTCTGATTTTATAGTTTTTCCTTTCTCCTTATAAAATTTTTCAATTATTGGATTTTTCAATTTTTGGTATTTTAAGCTTTTAGTTTTTTAAATCTTCGTTTTTCAGTTATAGATTTTTCAGTTCCTCGATATTCCATTTTGGCGTTTCTTTTTTTGTAGTTTTTCAATTTTTTGGTTCATTATTTTTTTTTTCCTTTTTCGATTTTTAGTTTTTCAATGTTTCAATTTTTTCTTTCTTCAGTTCTTCGATTTGAAATTTTTCGATTTCCAATTTTTCTGTTTTTCCTTTCTTTTTGTTTCTTAAACTTTTCTATTCATTAGTTTTTCATTTCTTCAAATTTTCGTTTTGCAATTTTTGTTTTCGATTTTTTATTTTCTTTATGTTTACAAATTTTCCATTTTTCAATATTTCGATTATATAATTTTTTGTTTTTTCAATTTCAATACTTTCAATTTTTCACTTGTTCTATTTTCCGTATTTTCAATTTTTCATTTCTAAGGAATTTTTTGAGTTTTTATTTTTAAATGTTTCAATTTTTCGATTTTCAAACTTTTGATTGTTTCAGTATTTAGATTTCTCAATTTTTCGGTTTGCAGTTTTTCGTTTTAGTCTTTTATTTTTAAAATTTTTTGGCTTTACAAATGTTCTGATTTTACAGTTTTTCTTTTTTTATTATGTGACGTTCAATTTTTTGAATTTTTGAATTTTTCGATTTGCAATTTTACGATTTTTCAATATTTGGATTTTTTTATTTTGGTTTTTGTCAATTTTGGATCTTTCAGTGTCTCGATTATTCGGTTTTTCGTTTCTTCAATTTTTAATATGTAGTAATAATTGTGATATTTGACATTTTTCACTTTTTTAATTTTACGATTTTAGAATTTTTTCATTTTTCAATTTTTCCATCTTTCAATGTCACAGTTTTTCGACTTTACAACTTTGACGATTCTATCATTTTTCCATTGTACGATTTTTGGTTTTTCCAATAT